CTTGACCACGACTATGAGGAGCATGATTTTTTTTCCTGTGCTTGGTCCCTCAATCCTGCTGCCTGCTACCATCTTAATCTGAGCTGTCTCCAAGTCTTGCAGTAGGCAGCTCTGCAAAAAAAATAACAAGGAAAAAAAAAAAGCCAACTTGGCAAGAAAGACTGCAAGTTTTTCATCCCATTCTGGAAAGCCTTTTGTCCAGGCTGGGGCTGGTTTTGTTCCTCCCTCAATAGCAACTGTCAGGTGAAGATCACTAAAAATTTCAATACTCTTAAACAGGAGCCCTGGGACTTCGTCAGGAGATGGTCATCCATAAGCCAGGCTCTGAAGCAATGTAGCCAACATTCATGTATGGTACTTTCCATTTAGTGGGAAATGGGAATATTGGAATGGTGGCACAAAATCTAAAATTTTGGTACTTCCAGCTTCCACAGGAGTTGCTGGTTTGGGCTGAGATAAAATTTTGTCATAGTAGCTTGTGTGGGGCTGTTATAGCAGTGTTTGTTATAGCAGTGTTTGTTATAGCAGTGTTGATAACATGGGGATGTTTTACCTATTGGCAAACAGTGCTTACAGAGTGTCAAAATCTTTTCTGTTTCTCACACCACCCCATCAGTGAGTGGGCTGGGGCTATGCAAGAGGTTGGGAGGGGAAGAAGTTGGGACAGCTGACCCCATTTGACCAAAGGGTTATTCCATAACATATGATGTCATGTCCAGCAATAAAAGAGAGTGTGAGGGGAGTGGGTGAAAGGTGTCTGGGGACTGGCTGGACATCAGTCGGCTGGTGGTGAGCAATTGTTTTCTTTTACATCACTGTTTACTTGTGGTTCCCTCCCTACTCCCTTTTCTTTCCCCCCCCTCTTTTAAAGAAATAGACTCTGGCAGCTCAGAAGGCCAGCTCTATCCTGGGCTGTATCAAAAGCAGCAGGGCCAGCAGAGCGAGGGAAGTGATTCCTGAGCACGGGAGGAAGGACATGGACCTGTAAGAGCAAATCCAGAGCAGGGTCATCAACATGATCAGAGGGATGGAGTGCCTTTCCTATGAAGGCTAAGGTAACTGGGATTGTTCAGCCTGAAAAAGAGAAGGTTTTAGGGTATTCAAATAATGACCTTTCAGTACCTGAATGGAGCCTACAAGAATGATGGAGAAAGACTTTTTACAAGAGTGACAGGACAAAAGAGAATTGCTTCAAATTAAAAGAGATTAGGTTTAGATCAGATATTAGGGAGAAATTTTCTACTGGAAGGCAACTGGAGTTGCCCAGAGAAGATGTGGATGCTTCATCCCTGGCAGTGCTCAAGGCCAGGTTGGATGGCACTTTGAATGCCATGGTAGGGGGATTGGAACTGGATGATCTTTAAGGTCCCTTCCAACCCAAATCTGTCAATGGTTCTAAACTGTCTGCATCTAAACCTATGAGTTTTTGTACTTCTGTTCTTCTGATTCTCACCCCTATTCTGCTGAGAGTGAGTGAGCAGCTGAGTGGTGCTTAGCTGCCTACTGAGGTTTATCATGAGAAATCATGTATCTATGTATCTTTTCAGGCACACAGAAAAATGCTAGGAACATCACAACCTATCAAGTGAATGAATTGAATGTGAGCCTAATTTTGAGTCTTTTAATAATCTTTACAAAGACATATTGCAGTAAGCTCCTTTCTTTATAAATTTTTTTAAAAAAAGAAAAATTAAAAAGAAAAAATATAGCACAATCTGAAATTACTTTGAAGAACCTGCTCCCAAAATTGATGATTAAAGGAGGATAAGCACAGTGCTTTTGGCTTCAAAGGTCAGTCCTGCTGAATTTAAGTGACTGATGGATTCTCTTCACTGGAGGTGCAATTTTCCCCTGAAGAAATATTTCTTAAAGACCAAGGCTGGCTACCTGGTACTTATGAGAGAGTCCAAAGGGAATTACAAGCGGGGTTGTTAGGGTTATCATTTACTCAGTGGTTTCTGCCGATATTGTAGCACAGGAATCCCACAGCACTGCTTCTTAGCATGTGATAAATGGTGCCCCAGGTGAAGGTGAGGGAGGAGCGAGGGCAGCCCCTGCCATGACAAACTGTTGCTTTGCTGCTCCTGCTATGAACCTGCTGTTTCTCCTGCAACACCTCAGCTGTGCTGGGCATTGCTCTCCTTGATAATGTACCTGGGCATTGGGGTGCACCTTGGGGAGATTCTGGGTGCACAGCTACCAACAGGAGAGTTCTTTCCTTCTGCTTGGCAGTGTGGTGAAAACTGGACATTTTATGGCTGCGTTTTTAAGACCCTTGTTGTACATTGGTCCAAGTGATTTCTGGTGGCTGATACAGCATAAAATATCAACTGTTATGAGAAATACGTACCTGAGCATGCTCCAGTGGAAAAGTGTGTTGTTTTGATCTCTCTGAGACCTGTAGCTGGTGATGGGAGCCTGTTAATGGAGTTGTGGTGTTAAAAGAATGTTTTTGTGCATCTCTCTAATTCCTCTATTTTTGTATTAAAAAGTACATTACTTTCACTACAGAAAGTTATTAATATATCTTACATATTTAATCTAGCATCCCTAGTTTTTCCTCTTGTGGGAAAAAAAAGCATAATTGGTTGAAAAATTAGAAAACAAGATGGGTTATCCTCTTTAAGAACTTCTCAGTAATTGTTTTGCTTTGCCATTTTACTACAAATGGACTTAAAAATAACTAAAGTCCAGTCCTAATTAATGCAAAATACATCAGCCAGGCATGAAATAAAATACCTGGTGGGATCTCAGATACTTTTTATGTTGTGTTTTGATTGCTGAGAAGATCATGTACTCTGTTTTTGCTGTATTCTTTCAGGACAGCAAGCTAGTTTAATGCTAATGATTCAGCTGTTATCCAGCTAAAGAAAATAAGCTGGTGAGGTTAACTAAGGCCACAGTCAGCATCAGTTGATGGAGTGTTGAATGTATTGCATGTTTGGTATATATAAAGATAAAAGGAAAAACAATGTCTAACACATTCATTTAAAAAAAGCCCAGTAAGGTGCCCCCCACCAAAGCAAACAAACAAAAAAATTCCCTGGAAAACCCAAATAACAGGAAGTTCTCAAACTCTAAGAAAATCAGTGTTTAGACCGTAATGTTATTAATGTCTCTTCTGAACTCCTTGTTTATCTCTCTTTGCCTTTGTTGTCCTTATCACGTTTTTAAAGATGCAACTCCAAGTCTTCCCATTAATATTTGGATTCCTGGACTGTTGTGGCTTCACAAGTCCTTATTGCTGCATCTTTGGCTCTTCTACAATGCACAGATGTTGACCATGGATGAAAATGTTGCATTCACAGTTTATGTCTTGATCAGTTCTCTTCTGCTGGCAGCTTCTCACCATTCTACTTTGAAGAGGAAAGGAGCCCTTTCAAGTTTTGTTGCTTTTGGTTCATATAGGTGGTTCTTTTCTGCTGTTCTTCTATGAATTGTAACAAGCCCTATGCCATGCTATTGGGCTTGAAACAAGTTACCTGTTGCATTCAGTGGATGTACAGTTCCAGTAGCTGTAAAAGAAATGCACATACTACTTTGTCCTAAAAATCCATCCCATATTTTGGAATTGGGACTGGGGGTGTTTTCTGAGACATACAATGACCAGATATGTGACTTGAGCCTATCTGCAGAGTGTTGCTGGGGCTTTATTTTCAATATTGCATAGTGCCCTGGAGCAGAGAGCTTTGCAACAGCTGTGGGTTGTTTGGGCAGGGCTGGCTCTAGAAGGAGCAGGAACTGCTGGATTTACAGCCCCCAGCATCACTTCGATGGCCTTGGCACCCCAAGAAGGACACTGAAATCAAGGAGTGATGGCAAAGGTCAGCAGGCTCTCAGCATCAGCAAAGCCTGGGCAAAAGCTCAGCCCTTCATTCATTAGTGAGAAACTGGAGTGACAATGCAGCCTTTTTCCGTGGAGCATTTGTGGCCCCATCCACTGTCCATTGTATTGATTTCAATGAAATCTAAGCACATACTAAGAATTAGGCACTTCTTTTCCTGGTGCCCTCAGGAGAGAGAGTTTCCTCAAGTGGGGCCAAAACATGTACTTTGTACAGGGCATCTTCTGACCCAGAAGGTCACCTAAGACTTCTGAGAGACTCTGAAGGGATATTTTTAATTGTTCAAAGTCTTGTTTTGTTTTCAGGCTCAGCAAAATAACCTAAAAGTGTGTTTGTGTAAATGCTCAAGGGAAAATCTGGCCAAGGAAGAAGCTTGTTATTCATTGTACGTCAGGTCCTGCAACTGTGGAGTCAGACTGAGTTTTGCCATTGATTTCAGTGGGCACAGGGGCAACCTGTCTGGCCATTTTGAATGAATAAATTTTATTCCCACATAGAGACAAAAGAAGCTGGTATAAAATTGAGGCCTTTTTGCTGGCGTGATATATAAAATGTGATGTTATTGTATGTTTGCTTAATTATAACCTCAAAGTAGAGGAAAATTTTCATCCTTACAACGGAAATCCCAGCATAGGAAAAGAGGCACAAGTGGGACCCATGTAAATGCCAGATTACAGAAGCGTTACAGAAGTGTATTTGACAGCTTTGGTACTGTAGTCTTCAGATAAGGTGTATTCTACAGAAAACTCTGTGTAATGTTACTAGTTACTCTCTGGTGGTAGAAATTATCTACTTCTGGCCTGCTTCCACTTAAAACTAAGTTTTTGTTGGCATTGCTTCATCTGATCTTAAATTATCGTTTTTTGTTTATGTTTATTAGTGGTTTTTTTAAAGCGATCTGATGGAAATTTGTTTTCAAAAAGAAATGAAGGAGCAGCACTACATCATCCCTTTGCTCTTTGACAAGATCAGAGGGGGAATGGCATCACCCCCCTCCCCCCCAGTCCCAGCAGGTTTATGGGCTGGTACTCTGCAAGTCTGGGTGTTAAACCTAGTGGTATTAAGAACTGCAGACTGAAAATTCAGATATACTGCTTTTCCTTTGTTGCAGGAGGAAGCATTTTTTGCTGCAGGTCTGAGAAAGGACGGGCTGGCATGGAGAAAGAGGTAAGTGAAGAAAAAGCCATGCTTTCCAAAGAGAAAATTTCAAAAGGGGCTATTCCTAGCATTGCTGTTTCATAATATTATTTGTAGTGTGATGGGAGGGAAGTCAGCCGACGCATAGGCTCCTTTATAGCATTGACAAGTCAAGGAGATGATTAACGAGAGTACCAGACAATGTAATGGTAGGAGAAGGCCCACAGAAGTTAAACAAAAGTGCCTTCAGAATTTAGAGAATTCCCATGATCCATAGTAGGACCTCATTGTGCTTGTCTACTGTTTCTATTTTTGATTAGATTTATAAACACAGCACCACATATTTTCATGTGGCTCATAGCCCCAGGGCAGAGTGAGATTGACTGCGCTGAAACTGTGAGGCTTGTGAATTTCGGGCAAGGGATGGAGTGAAATAAGTAGTGTAATTGTTTTTGTGGAGTGACCGTGGGACCTCTTCTGTTCTGAATTACACATGGTTCAACCCTTTGACCCAACCAACCTCAGCAATGCCTGGTAGATCTCCTAAAGCTGTGCTGAAAGGTCCTATCAGTGACATGTTGGAACATTATCTGTCATGTGAGATGTGTGCCAACAACCATATTAAACTACATTAATTACTAGTGAGGCCATGTTTGTGACAATCTCAACTTCATTTAACCCATCATCATGTTAGTTATTGTTTAAGCAGGAAGTACAAATGGGGACAATTTATGAAATCAAAATGCAGCACCAATGTTTTGTTTAATAAATTTTATTTTTTTACTTTGTTTTACTTTGTTTTGTTTCCCTTCCAGTTTTTTTCCTTCCCCTGGCATTTTTGTTCTTGTCATCAGCTCTGTAGCTTGAGATTTTGAGGGCTTTTCTATTTTAAGAGCAAGCAATAAAACGACTACTTCTTAGTAACTGAACTAATACACCAGTGAGATTGTTGCTTCTTTCAGTGCAATTGCAAATAAAAGTTGACCGAAAGCCCCACGTTTGTTTTCCAGCAAGAAGCAAGTGTGCTAAGATAGTTTGTGTAGGGCTGAAAGATCACACGTGGGTTACTCGCTTGATGAGCACCCTCACTGATTTACTCTCCGGCTAGTGGGGCTCTGTATGGCCACACTTGCACACCTTTGAGCATACCCATGAATGGAGCATACATATCTTTTTAATCATATAGGTCTGAGCATCTAGGTAGCAAAGCTTTCTGTGGGTCCCCAAATGGCAGTCTGGTATATAGACATTCTGGAGGAATTCTTAGCACATGTTTGCGTTCATGAAGCTTTTTTGCATTTTATAAGGCAAGAGGCAAAAGCTCTCCCACGTGCTCCAGCGTGGGCAGCGTGCAGGTTCACTCATGCCTAGCTGTGCCTGGTGTTCTATTAGATTAGACACACAGGGTTACATCTTCCACCTACACACCGAGCTGCTCTTTTACGACAGGTCTTTTCCTTTGGCCTCATTGTCTAGCTAGAATAAACAAAGAGTGAGGTTATTTATTTATTTAATTTTATTTATTTTTGATTGCTGCAGAGTCAGCCAAAAACATCTTCGACCCTCCTCAGTGTCATTCTCTTTAGCAATGAAGAGTTTGTTCTCTGCAAAATCTAACATGGAGTGCTTAAAGCAGACAGGTGCAAATACCAAGCTGTTTCTCTTTGGCTGCCATCCCTTAAATAGACAAAGTAATAGGCTGGGAGAAAGGAAAAGGTTCCAGCTCCAGCTGCATAACGAAAAGCCTTAACAGGGACTTAGCAGCTGGTTGCAAGAATTAAATGCTGTAAATACCACCTAATGCATTTGTGTGTGT